TAGCTTCTCCGCCTCCTCCCATCGGCCTTGGTTCCAAAATGTCGACGCCAGGTTGGCCATGCTGGTCAGCGTGGAAGGATGGTCTGCTCCGAGTTTCGTCTTGCGCGTCTCCATCACTTGCACCTCCAGCTCTTCGGCTGCGTTCCATCGGCCTCCAAGTTTGTATGCTGATCCGACCATTGCTATACTCCATAGCGTGTCCTCGTGCTCTTGACCCAACACCTTCTTCCGCGCTTTCATTGACTTCACAGCTAGTGTTACAGCGTCAGTAATGTTGCCTGTCATCTCTGCATACCATGCTGCACGATAGAGCAGTGTAGCCCATTCTGCTAGCGATGACTTGTCTTCTGGCTGCTGCCCTGCAGCCGACCTAGCGTGCGCGAAAAGTGCTTGACATACTGTCCAGTTCTCGTACTGTCCTGTGGGGAACTCAGCGCAAAGGTTACTGATAAACTGCTGCCTCCATTGCTCAAGCTTGCCGTTTGCAGCAAGCCACATGCGCGTCGCTAACTGCACAAGTGCGTGCATCTCAAAGGTCGTACCGTTGGTGTCAACTGAGATGAAGCAAAAGTTTCGCAGGGTCACTACGTCGTGTTCGAATGCGTCGTTGCCCGCGCTAGATTGCGATGCATCATCTTCTTCATCGCTGTCTCGGTCATCGTCCGCTCTCTGACTTCTCTGGGCGTCTCTATGCTCCCTTCGGCTCCGGATCAAGGCTTCGGGGATCCCTTGCCGGTCGAAGAAGCTCATCAGCGAGAGCAGGTCTGCTGCTGACGGCTGTGTCTCCTGTATATGCTCGAACGAGATCTGCCAGGTAACAACGATCGAGTTCTTCGCCTCCCAGTCTCGCTGGAGCTGGCTGCCGTCGTGGCTAAGAAGGCTTGACCGCTTGCGCTCGCTCTTCTTGAATTCCTCGAGGTACTTCGCCACTAAGCATCGGGGTGCTCTCTGCGAAATGTACGCTGCCGATTGCACAATGGCCAGCGGCATGTACTCGAGCGCCGCTGCAAGCTCAACCACATCGCTGTCAACTCCCTGCACTCCCAACTTCTTCTTAAACAGCGCCTGCGCCTGCACCTCGTCCATCGGCTCCACGGAAACGATATCGCGGTACTCCACTAGTGTCAGCGCCGCTTCCTTGTTCCGTGTTGTGATGAGAATCGACCCATGCTTGCAACGGGGGAGGTACGTGCGCAGCGGTTTGGAAGCGGTCTTTGAGTCGTCAGTAGGCTGTCCTTGATCGTGAGCCTGGCTATCGACGAGAAAGCGAGCGTCATCCACGTTGTCCAGCACGAGCAGCCACCGCTCCTGGCTACCACGCAGCCAGTCGTGCACCAGCTTAAAGATGTTGGCTTTGGGATCCAGTCGCCCAGAGATCTTAACCCAGTCGGCAATTTCGCGGTAGCTCTGCTCGAACCGGGCGGCGTTGCTGGCGTGCACCCAGAACACCCACGTCTCAGGCGATCGCTCGCGCGTGCGGTAGGCATGCTCAATGGCTAGCTGCGACTTGCTTCTCTTGCTGTTAGCATGTTGCCCTGGTCAAGCGATGCGCTACCTACCCTACGCCGCCAAGGCCAACAAGCGCAGCCCGCGAGCCTAGCGCAGCGCATCTTTGGCGGACCTGGTCGAGTGTCGTCCCTCGCTCGACAAAGTCGGCGTCGCGGGCGAAAGGTATGAGGATGGATGGAGGTGGTGGAGTCTCTAATCGCTCTGAGGCGGGGTGTCGTTAGTGCTTGCTCAGACTAAGGGATTCTCCCGCGTCTCACCAGGCGGAGGTTGGAAAGTAACTGGTCCATTAATAATCCCAGCCTGTAGCCCGGTGTTCGCATCACCAAACGAAATCACGTTGGCCATAATGTTAGGGCAGCAGTAAAGACCGTAGCGCCTACAGCGAAGCCTTGCGGTTCAGCTGGAACTTAGCCTAGCAGACAGAACGTGCTGCAGCTCAGCCCCAAGCTGACAAACAATCTTTCTGGCCAAGATAAGCCCCGCATGACATGCTTCGCTGCATCCATATACGCTCTTCTTCCTCAACCTCTTTCGTATCGTAATTATATGCAAATGGCTGATCCTCTCAGCATTACTGCCGGAGCTGTGGGCATCACTGTGCCAGCCTTACATGGCATACGCTTGCTTATGGAAGACCTACAGCAGCTCAAAGACGCGCCGAAGACCATCAAACGCCTAGTGGAGGATGTTCGCTCTGTCGACACAGCGCTCAGCCTTCTTCAAGGTGTGGAGGATAGGGAGTGGACTTTACTCGGCGCAATTATAGCTAAAGAGTCGGAGAAAACGATCAGTAGCTGCAAGCAAGCATGCGATCTCTTCAGAACCAACCTTCAGCGGTGGACTAAGAACTCAGAAGATGGGAAGTTAGGATGGAAGGATCGGACGAACGTGGGATTCTTCAAGCAAGGGCCAATCAAGGCTATGTCTGAACAGCTTCAAAACTGCAAGCTCACTATAAATTCTGTCGTAAGCATAGCGACTTTGTGAGTAGCCACTTCTCAACACTCAGTATAATGCTGTAGCTAATCCTGCCTTACAGGTACAGCTCTGTCCGCCATAACCACATAACCGAAGACATCAAGAAGACGATATCTACCAAACAAGAGGAAGTCAAAGAAGCGATCACTGCCACACACAAGCAGATGATAGTGCTGGAGAACAAGCTGGAGGAGCTGAACCTCAGCAGCGATGACGAAGATATGGCCGGGCCGGAGGCAGGCAAAGCAGAGACAGTGCGGCAGCTCGAGGAAGAACGCAAAGCGCTAGAAGCATCACGCACTCTATTGGATGAGTTATTATCGAGGGCGCGGGAAGAAGCTGTCGCCAAAGCTGCTGCAAAGAGCCAGGATAGTTCGACCACAGTGAGCACTGTGACGTTTGGCAATCAGAACTCGGGACAACAAGCTGGGGTCATCAATGGTGGAGTGCATGGAGCCGTTTTTAGAGGAAGATAAACAGGTCACTTACTACGGGTTTGTCTAAACCTCTGCACGCAATGTCTACAGCGTAAGGGCCGACGACATTATTCCCCAGTACGCATATCACAACAGCCATAGGGCTATTAATAATTACAGAATACGATACGCCGTAATCAGGGTGGAAATGCAGTGTCATCTCGCACTAGCCAAATTTGGAGATCACTTTTGCTGGAGGTACCAACCGGCATGGCCGCCCTGGATAAATCAAGCGCCCATCACAGCCTTGCGGCTAATGACAGCTCTCCAGCGTCTCTATCAGACTCACAGGCCTGTATTAAGGTAGTTTCTTAGTTGCGATAGTAGTGTTAGCGTAGCAATGACCTATGCGGGACGAGGTTCGCTTTCATTGTGAAGACGAGCTCTTCGCGGATCGGGCGGGTAGTCGCCTAAACAAATGTATTTTTTGTATTAGCACAGTTGCGGGGGTCTAGTAGTTATCTAAGCATGTTACAGAGGGGCAGTATCGCAAAAAATCATAGGGCGCGCACGCTTGCTGGTGTTGCGAAGTCAAAGTACCGATGGTTTTGTCCGTTACGGTGGTTGTTCCGTTATGAGTGGATGCACGTTATACAGTTTAAGGCGTGGAATAATCGCATCCAAACTTCAATCTAGAGTGTCTTGCTTGGTATGAGGGCATGATTACATGAATCAAGTAGCCTTACAAATAGTCAATCTGGTAGCACTCTTACTGACCTTTTCAGGTTGAGGAAACACCTAGAAACCCTCAGGTTCTACCGCGCTAGGTCGGAGCAGCGTTACCAGATAGAATTTTCGCATTTCTACATATTCAAAACCGTTCTACAGCACACTATATGTAACGTCTCAGCACGAGTCTAAAGAGCGCAGGGCGCTTAGCATTCCCCATGTGACGGTCATAAGCGTGTCGTCCATCGGCTCTACCAGAGCCACAGAGCCAGCGTTGCTACCGTCATTGGAATGGAGATAGCCCAATAGACCCAAAACTGGCCAGACACGATAAGGGTGACGCCATCCACACCTTCGCGGGATTGGAGAGCGAAGAAGTTTGTTCCAAATAGAGTCTGCCAAGTAAAGTTGGTGTTAGGATACTTTAATGCAGTACCATAACTAGTCGACAACTTACGGAAACGAAGGTGGCTAGCAAGAACGTCATCGTGACTACAGCAATAGCCTTCATCGCTGAAGCCTCTCTTTTTGCTTCTTCGCCTATACGCACTTGTATCTTGCTATCTCTCTAGGCCGCCCCGTGGAAGGCCTATCATTGTTAGTCGATAAGTGCATATAGACGTAATATTTTTACTTTACCAGGGCGATTTCGTTCTATATTCGAGCGTTGTTTGAGGTTGATCGCTGCAACAAATTTTCAAGGATCTGAAGCTGAAAGGTCATACGGCTGCTAACTCCGTCCCATCGATTGTGCTTTCCCTGGCTGAGAGCAAGATCAGCGTTTACGCGGAACTCTCAATAGTGCTGACCCATATTCTTGAGAGAGCGTATGGCTACGCTTAAAGTCTCGTTGACGTGCACGCCATGTCTCGCAATCTCGTGCAAACGAGAGTAATCGGTCTCGATGGGTTTTTCCTTCCGCCGTTCAGTCTACGCACGGTCAGTAAAGAAGTATCGTAGGGCTCTACTTACCGCTTCCCACTGGCTGATGTGGTTTCTGATTGACCATACCGAATCATCGTACAGCCGCAGCAGCTCCTCTAAGACGAGTAAGAACGTAGAATATGGATTGGAGATGTCAACAGTATGCGAGTCCATCGTTGACTGAATCTTAGACTGCGACTTCGTGGGCAGGTCGAAGCAGATCAACGTCAGCAATCCCGATGGCTTCCAGGAGGCGAAGAACCCCATCTCGTACCACTCCCATCCATGCTGCACGCTCTGTGGTCCATGGACTGCCTGATTGTCGCTACGATTGTTAAGTCCTGGCTGATGATGTGGTATATGCGGTGTGAATGTCCTCTTTGGCATGAGATTCTCGTACGCCTGTTTAATTGTGAAGCGTGACCAGTGAGCTGTAGCCTGTAAGCCCTGTTTGGACGATTCGTAGAAGTGTGTGTTGTTCGCTTACTGTACGTCTCTACTTTCTGCGCTCGATCGAGTTGAACATTGTGTCCCGCGAAGCCGTTCGAATGCTGGTACAGTCTTTCGAAGAGAAAGGGCGGAATACTCAGCTCTTTCTCGAGGCTCTTTCGAAGTTGCGGTGCAGTGTCAGTAAAGGATGTGGTAGATGCAAAACTGTACCGTCTTAGTCCACGATAGAGGTTACAGTTACTACCGATACACACAGGATCTGAACTTCGGCGCGTTCTGCCTGCTACGAGTGATGAGTTCTGCCTGGGTCAGAGTTGAACATCCTAACCTTTGCTACTTCTTCCCATGTGATGGCTTGACTTTGGCACGCTGAGGGTGCGGCAATAGCTATCGGTAGTGACTCAGCGAACTCGTTCGGACGAGGACTACGCAACTCACCTAGCCGCAAGACTGTATCTCTGCTCATCGTTGCGCAACGTGCAGCGTTATGGCTTCTCTTCGTGAGACCGCCTATCTCAGCATCTCAGCGAGCACACGCGAAGCTGCGACAGGAGAACCAATTGGACAATCATCCTCATGCTAAGCGCTGGCTTCACCGGTATGCCTCAGCCTTGTGCCTCAGCCTTGTGCCGCAGCTGCACAATAGCGCACGAGTGCCAAGCTGCTGACACTTTATTGCAGAGACCATCATCCATTCCGACTACGCACTCTAGTATGGCTTCTACATTTTCTTTTGGCGACGCGAACGCTGGCTTCCAAGCAGGCATCATCAACGGCCCAGTGAACAACGCGTTCCACCTTCTCCCTGGTACGTTGTGGGATCGCTCTAGCTGGCCAAGGCCCGAACAAGCGCTAACAGGCCCCACCTCAAGAGCGGCCAGAGACTCCACCACCCCCATCCATAGTGATACCTTTCGCTCGTGATGCCGACTTTGTTGAGCGAGGTACGACGCTCGACCAGCTCCAGCGAATATGCGCAGTGAAAGACGCGCGGGCTGCGCTCGTCGGCCTAGGCGGCGTAGGGTAAGCAGACGCCTGCTCAACCAGCACCGCGCGCTAACAGCAGAGAAGCAAGTCGCAGCTCGCCATCGAGCATGCCTACCGCACCCACGAGAGGTCGCCTGAGATGTGGGTGTTCTGGGTGCACGCCAGCAACGCGGCCCGGTTCGAGCAGAGCTTCCGCGACATAGCCGACTGGGTCAAGATCGCTGGGCGGCAAGATCCGCAGGCGAACATCTTTAAGCTAGTGCACAATTGGCTGTATAACTGCAAGCAGAGGTGGCTGCTCGTGCTGGACAACGTCGACGACGCTCGCTTTCTTCTCAGCGGTCAGGCAAATCGCGACGGCCAACACCAGACCACCAACGCGCAGGTCGTTCGAAAACCGCTGCGCGAGTACCTCCCCCACTGCAACCGCGGCTCTATCCTCATAACAACAAGGGACAAGGGAGCAGCGCTGCAGCTAGTTGAGCAGCGCGACGTAATCGTTGTAGAGCCCATGAACGAGGCGCAAGCCGTAGCACTGCTGCAGAAGAAGCTGGATGCGCAAGGAGATAGCGGCGATGTCGCTGAACTTGCCGCTGTGCTTGAGTACATGCCGCTCGCTATTGTGCAAGCTGCTGCATATATCTGGCGAAGGGCACCTCGATGCTCCGTGGCAGAGTACCTCGAAGAATTCAGGCGCAGCGATGGCGGAAAAAGAAGCCTGCTGAATCACGAAGCTGGACATCTCCGACGAGACCGAGACGCTAAGAACTCAATTATCGTTACATGGCAAATATCTTTCGAGCACTTGCGACACCAAAAAGCGTCGGCGGCTGAACTGCTGTCACTTATGAGCTTTTTCGACCGACAGGGAATTCCAGAAACACTTCTCCACGGTGGCCGGGGAATGGAGGGGCCAAACACAGCGTCTAACGCGACGAAAAGGTCAACGAGGAAGCGTGTCAAGGCATTTTTCAGTCGTACAAAGAGTCAGCATGAGGTCCAACAAGAGCACAGAAATAATGCTGATGATAGAGAGAGGTTTGAGAACGACATAGGCGCGCTGCGCGATCTCTGCTTAATCTCTATCAGCGCTGATGGAGTCACCTTTGAAATGCACAGTCTTGTGCAGCTTGCAACACAGACATGGCTTATAGCAAATGGCACGCTTGAACAATGGAAGCAGCATTTCATCAGCGTCCTTTGTGCAGAGTTTCCAACAGGACAGTACGAGAACTGGGCAGCATGCCAAACACTATTCGCGCACGCTAAGGCAGCTCTAGAACAGCGGCCGCATGACGATGCGTTTTTGGGAGATTGGGCAACCATACTCTACCGTGCGGCGTGGTATGCGGAGAGCACAGGGAGCATTGCTGATGCTGTGTCGCTAGCTACGGAATCATTAAAAGCGCGAGAGAAGATGCTAGGTCATAAGCACGAGGACACGATACAGAGCATCGCAATGGTGGCAGATGCCTACTCACTTGGTGGACGATGGAATGAGGCTGAAAAGATGAGAAAACAAGTGATGGAGACTCGCAAGAAGAAGCTGGGAGCGGACCATCCCGACACGCTGACCAGCATGGCCAATCTAGCCTCGACT